AACAGATCACTATACACCCAGTGTGTTATCATGAGGCCAGCAGTAGGACTACTCGACAGATCACTATACACCCAGTGTGTTATCGTGAGGCCAGCAGTAGGACTACTCGACAGATCACAAGACACCCGGTGTGTTATCGTGTGGCCAGCAGTACGACCACTCGACAGATCACAAGACACCTGGTGTGTTAATACCACCTCCATTTTACCGTGAAGATACTAACTTTAGGGTACTTACTTCTACTATAACTATTCCTGCCTTCCTTCCCAGTGGTTGGTATATATGTGAGTAAATATGATTGTAAAAGGTTGTGCATTACAAGGTGGATGTTAAAAAAAGTTAGTATTAGACAACGGAAGATGATTGACGTAGAGATTCTGTCAGTAGAGGGCGTGAGGCATGACTACATGGTTAATGTCCTCTCACAGAATGAGACTAGTACATGAGGAATTTGTAAAACGGTAGAAAAATATTGATATTAGGATGAAAGTGGAAAAGTTATCTTGTTACGAATATCAGATAGAGGTCAAGGTTAGAGTATAGATTTTTTAAATTTTACTAGCTGTTACTTTTTGGTTGTTCTCATTTTGTTTTTGGTGCTTTTTTGATTATCTTCATACAGAAATGGCAAGATATTATCAAAGAGGTGAAATTTCTACGGCAAGTGAAGCACAAGAATACAATAGACTACAAAGGATGTTATTTAAAAGAACATACAGCATGGGTGAGAAGAAAAACCTTTTAAACTTAAAATACTAAATTAACAAGTTAACAGAATCGATTCCAGACACTTTAGTTACAACTTATATTAAAGTCAGTCTTATTATACGGTCATATCATATGGTTAGATGTGTAATTATCTATACACGTGTGTGTGTGTGTGTGTATTGAACACGTACATCAACGAAGTATTTCTGTCAAAATTAATGATTGTTCCATTGTTGAAATATTGGTTGCTCTCTTCCTGTAATTTTTCATGTATACCTTTCTAAACAGAAAACTACTGAAAACAATTGAAAAAATTAGTTTGTTTTGATAATATTTTAATTCGAGTCTTGTGCCAATGTTCCAATAAAAATTGTTTTGAAAAGGGTCCTTTTCCTGAGTTGTAGAGAATTTTAAATGTGATTAATACTTTTGTATTTTACTAGTCTAACTTAAAAATAAAAAAGACTGCCACATTATTTGGAAACTGTTTCAGTTTGAGCTCAATAATTATGTTACAGACTTAAAAAAACGTATTTAATACTTTTCTGAATTTAAAAAAAAAGTATAAAAAGTTTTAATTAGCAAATGATGGGCAGGATATGTTCTAGTGGTTATCGTGTCCCTCAGTTTCAAAAACTTGCTCTAAACTGTGGGTGACAATCAAATCTCTTTATTTGGTTAGAGTAGCCCAAGAGTTGGCGGCTGGTGCTGTTGACTAGCTGCCTTCCCTCTATCAGTTTAATACTAGGGATGACTGTCCTTTATGTAAGAAATAATAATGAAAGTTTGATTCTGTTTATAATAATTAAAATAGTTTCTTTATGATTGTTTTTCAGCTTATCATGGAATATTGTTTAGGATCTGCATCAGACATTATTGAAGGTAAGTCACTTTAAAAATATCCCGTGGGTGTGAAATATATAAACTGTGTGGGTGTGAAATATATAAACTGTGTGTGGGTGTGAAATATATAAACTGTGTGTGGGTGTGAAATATATAAACTGTGTGTGGGTGTGAAATATATAAACTGTGTGCGTGGGTGTGAAGTATATAAACTGTGTGCGTGGGTATGAAGTATATAAACTGTGTGCGTGGGTGTGAAGTATATAAACTGTGCGCGCGGGTGTGAAATTTATAAACTGTGCGCGCGGGTGTGAAATTTATAAACTGTGTGTGGGTATGAAATATATATTATAAATTCACGTCCAAAGATGATACTGTACAAGGTTTAGAGACGAAGTAGCTTGAGCTGACCAGGAGAAAAGTATCTTTTACAGGGGGTGGGGGTGTCAGAAAGGAATTTTGATGATTATTGTTTTATAAAAGAATAAGTTAAATATATGCCCTGTGTGTATTATACCAACCTTCTACAATATGATGAGAAAATGTTATGTATAGTTCAAACTGTTACATCTGTGAAATGGCAATCATTGTGTGAGTGACTTAATGACTGGACATAGTCTAGTGGTTCAGAAGGTTCAAACAGTGTTATGTTGCTGAACAGTCTGCACTTTCAGCTGTGCGTCTAAGTAATTATGACTGTGTCAGTCGATCCTTGCTATTTGGTTAAAAGTAGCTGCATGCTGTTAACTGGTTACCCTCAGCAGTTGTAAATCAAGGTACCTTAACCCTAAGGTTCTCTGATTTAGTTATGTAAGGTGCCTTTCAGATAGAAAATATCAATACCAACTACTTTATAACACTTGTTTTTGAAACATTTGAAAAAGCACCTTGTGCACAGTCATTGTATATGTTATAATTAAAAGCTTTTAAGTGTGTGTGAGGCACATTTACAAACAGGTCCAGTTTCTTCTAATTAATATATTATATATGTTTATATTTTACCTTGTCCACATGAGCAGTAGTGTAGATGTCATGTAATTATGTTATTACATGTGACTCTCACTACACAGGTTTTTGTTTTCAGTTTTGTATCTTTCACAGTTCCAATAAAGGTACCGTTGTAAATGTATGTAATAAGATACACCAAAGAAGTTCCTAAGAAAAACCATAACATTAGTGATTATGGCATCTATAGTTTCTCCTGCTTTCATGTAATACGAAAAGTTTGTGGTTACGTAAAAAAAGTTTCGAGCTCTTTGTATTTCCTGGTTTTTGTAGTTTTTTGTTTCATTTTGTTGTAAGAGATATATATAGCATGTTGCCAAAAAAAATATTTTTACAAGTATTTTGTAGACTGTAGTTGGGTCCTTGGGATTATGAATGAAATAACAGAAAATGATAAATATGTCATACCAGGGGGGAAATGTAAAATAACTTATAAAATATTACTTTTTGTTTTTTAATTATATTTAACAAATTTGGCAGAAAATCTTTTGATATACACTGTAGGCATTTTTTGTCAGATAATTAAAAAACCTTTATAAATATTGTTTATTGTAATCTGGGCTCAAATTATCAGGGTAACCAAAGATATACAACTCCACAGCTGTTGCATTGTTTTATTGTTTTACAGTTAGGGGGAGGTGGGGTTGAGTTTCTCCACAGCTCTTCTTAATGTAGACTTGGGTAAAAAATAATTAAATTTGGACCCCATCCACCCACCTAAAAATACTTAGTTAGAGTTCTGATTGTAATTGTAATGTAGAGTAAATTGTTTGAAGTCTGGGGTTGAAGGTGACCAGATTTCTGAGAATTCAGTTAGAAGCTGAACAGTTTATTTTCACAGTAATGTAATGGAACAGATTCTATTTTTTATCCAGTTTTACCATGTAATGGCCACTTGTATTCGGATAATTCTTCCAATATTTTTACTTTATATAATATCTATTATTGACATTTTTGAACCTGTTAATAGGTATTAATGATAGGTTACTTAATTGAATCATTTAAACCGTATTAAACACTGAAGTTTCTACTTATTGCAACTGTATTTGTGTTTGGTGTCGGAATCTCTTCAGAATTATGTTATTTATAACAACAGTTTTAACTATCTATATATGAAGAATGTAAATTTTAAGTTTTATTTCAAGTATTTCTTGTGCATTGGTTAATTCATTTTATACTGGCACCTCTTATAGTGGTATAATTGTTTACGGGATGATTTATTTATTGTGTGTTTTTTATTCATTTCTTACTGGGCAATAAATAAATCATCCCGTAAACAATTATACCACTATAAGAGGTCAACTACACTGGTTAACACCAACGTGTAACTTGTGTGACTAATTCAACAACTACACTGGTTAACACCAACGGGTAACTTGTGTGACTAATTCAACAACTACACTGGTTAACACCAACGTGTAACTTGTGTGACTAATTCAACAACTACACTGGTTAACACCTACGTGTAACTTAGGTGACTAATTCAATCATTACACTGGTTAACACCAACGTGTAACTTAGGTGACTAAGTCAACAACTACACTGATTAACACCAAACCGTACAAGTAAAATGGCTCACCCAATTTTACAGTGCCTGTCTCAGTCAGTAGGATATTTCCTGCCTTCACATCCCTATGTATTCTCCCCATAGAGTGCAGATATTCCAAACCTTCGAGGGCATCCTGGCATATTGCTGCTATCTCTTCTTCTTTAAGCGGCTTCTTGTGAACTGAACCAAGATTTAAACCAAATCTTAAAATCATCGTTGTATGGTATATGAAGGACAAACAGTGTTTGTGTCTGTGCAAGCTTTACATAAAATATCAAGAAGGTTTTGAATCTAGATTCAAACCAACTGAATGTTTGCATGATGTATCCATATAAGATGTGCCAGTATAAAATGAATAAAAAACACATTGAATTAGTCACACAAGTTACACGTTGGTGTTAACCAGTGTAATGATTGAATTAGTCACACAAGTTACACGTTGGTGTTAACCAGCTTGTGTGACTAATTCAACAACTACGTTACACGTTGGTGTTAACCAGTGTAGTTGTTGAATTAGTCACATGACTTATATGTTAGTATTAACCAGTGTAGCCTCCCGGCTATTTGAAAATGAAATTAAATATGATTTCTTAAAATTTATAATTTAGATGTTTAAAAAACAATTTTGTTTTGACAACCCATACAGTAATTGCTCTATATCCCAAAGTTTTATAATTTTTATTTGTTCATTTTAAAATTGAGTTAGTTTTGTAAAAAGGTAGCTACTAAAACCAGTAAACTTCACTTACTTTAAAGATTGTTAACCCATACTGATACTAAAACTGTCAAATTCTTCCAGCTGACTTTGGTGCTGCATCGCTCATGTGCCCAGCAAACTCTTTTGTGGGCACTCCTTACTGGATGGCACCAGAAGTTATTCTCGCTATGGACGAGGGGCAGTACGATGGGAAAGTGGACATCTGGTCACTTGGCATCACGTGCATAGAACTCGGTAAGGAAACGTACTGCGTTGCGATATTACTTGTATTTAATAATGTGTTTACATGTTTAATTTTTAATAACTCCTGTTGTTCTCGTGAGATGGGCCAATAGTAAAGAACACTCGGTGTAATCTGTAAAACTTGTGTGACTAATCAGGAAACGTACTGCGTTGCGATATTACTTGTATTTAATAATGTGTTTACATGTTTAATTTTTAATAACTCCTGTTGTTCTCGTGAGATGGGCCAATAGTAAAGAACACTCGGTGTAATCTGTAAAACTTGTGTGACTAATCAGG